CTGAAACTGTTGAATAAATTTCAAAGGGAACTGGAATGTACTAATGGAAACATAAATGTCGTTAATTAGGCAAAATTATTTCATTAGGAAGAAAAATACGGCAGAACTTTTTTCCATTTTGGAAATAGTGTCTTACTATGTTAATTATGTTTCTCTCAATGTAATTTTATCTCTTATTTGAAACGGGAATGGAACATGCAACGCAAATTAAAAAGCAAACTCAATCTGTTCCGTTAAAACGTATAATAACGTGTGTAATTAACATCGTATGTGGATGAAGATTGACTGTGTAGATCGTTCTGACGAACACGAAACGTGCCAAAGAAACGCATGTCCATCCGAAATGTTTACTTGTTTAAGCGGTCGTTGCATCGATTTAATATTGAAGTGCAACGGTATCAGCGAATGTGAAGATAACAGCGATGAACAATATTGCAATTACGTGGGTAACAATAATTACGTCAATTGTTCTGCGGATCAGTATAAATGTTTCAATACGGAATTATGCCTTCCCAACGAAGTCAGGTGAGTCAATTTATAACTACAGTACATTTATCAATGCCTTCTATCATTTTACATTTGATCGTGTTTATTGTCCTCTGTTCTTTTACATTTATTTGTATTACGATAAGAAAAGTAAATAAGGATCAAATGTTATACGCAAATATTTCAAAATTTTCGAGTCGAAATAAGGAAGGAAAATGCGGCTTTAATTTCAAATTTTACAAATGTAATTCTTACTATTACAGTATTTGTAAACTTCTACTTATTATACTTTTTACATCGATAATTTCCTCAGACTTTTAACATCACTACATGGATTTCAATTTCAAGTAAATAATATTGACAAGAAGCAGGAAATATGTATATAATGTTTTGTAGATTTTTACAAACATCGTATTGTTTATTATAAAAATATATTATTTTTAGAGATGTGAAAAAAATTTCTTAGAAGGATCATGCTACAATGATCAAAGTCATCTCCACTTTTTTAAACGAAATCATATATTTTTTGCTTACAATACTGATATTCTTCATAAAAGAAAATGCTATGTATTTTAATTTTACGTCTACTATTTTCGTCTTATCTCGACTTTTATATCATGGATTTTAACAGTTAACTCTCATCTGTTCTTTAATATATTTTCGATATTTTTGATAACAAAATACGATATCATTATTTTCCAATTATCATCATTATACTACAATTATGCATTCAATGAATCACATTTCTGAAAATTATAATTGTGACAAGTCCAAAATAAATTTGATCATAAGGTAGACAAAACAATTTCACTATATAAAATTGATTTACACTTATACGTAGGAAGATTTGTGTGAATCTTCGTAATAGAATATAGAAATTTATTTATTACGAATAAAAAAATTTGCAAATTTAATTATTTATGTTTTCATCGTATATATATTAATTTTTCACCATTGTATCAATTTGATATCAAGGAACAAATTGAATTGGAAAAATGAAAGACGAATAATAAAAAGTTAAAATGAATGATAAGTTAAAGTTAAAATGCCTCTTAAAGTAATAATAATAGCTTCCCAACATACATGACTGATATTTTTTTTTATAAAAAAAAATATGAAGCAAATTGACCAACGGATCAAAAAATATCTGATTTTACTTAAAAATGTAAAGGTGACCTTGAAATCTCTGAAAACTCTTCATCTATAACAAATCATTATTACCATATTATGGCCCCTTACTGAATAAATTTTATTAATAAAGCTTCTTCACATCTTTGAACACGACGACATTTCAAATAGTAATAATTAGTGATCCATGGTTCTTATTTAACACTAAACGTTTTTACATATCTTACCTATCTTACCATAAGGCGTCAAATGATTCATCGCGGTACATAAGGTATGCAAAGAATTTTTCTCGGCAAAAAATAAGCTAAGAGAAAAACAGGAGAACGAGAAATTGAATAATCAGATAGAGCTAAGAGAAGAACAGAAAACGAGAAATTGAATAATCAGATAATATAAGAAATTTACAAAAAGGCAGATTAGCGAAAGGAATAACAACGAATGTACGATTTCAAAGTAAAACTTTGAAAAGGGGTCATTTGACATCGCTTGGTACGTTTAGTGTTAATTTTAATTACATTTTTTCCCACTTTTAAGGTGCACTTTCATCAAGCAGATAAAGAAAACTATTTATTTATTTTATTAACGTGTTCTCGTAGATGTAACGGCGTTTCAGACTGTCCAAAAAACGACGACGAACGTAATTGTGCTCGATGCCAAAAGGAAGAGTATGTTTGTGACAATCAGAAATGCATTGATAAAAACTGGGTATGCGACCGGATGAATGATTGTGGGGATGGATCAGATGAAAAAGATTGTGACGGTGGTAATTCGAGAATGAATAGCGTCAGCTCGATTTCTAAATGCAAAGAATTCAAATGTTCGAACGGCGTTTGCCTCCCTTTTGCCAAAGTGTGCGATGGAAAAGTGGATTGCTCAGATCAAAGTGATGAATACGGAGAATGTAGTACGTACAATGAGAATAAAACGAATAAGAACATTATTTTAAATTATTAATAGAATTATTATTATATTATTATTAAAGTTCAATTTTAGATTACATCCAGTTGATAATATGTGAAGCAATTTTTTTTCAAAATCACATTTTCTTTGTTCCGGAAATTTTCCTAATTTTGACAAAAATATAAAAAGCATATGAATATTTTTTTTCGATTTATTCAATTGATTTTTTTCTCGAAATTAAAACTTTTCTCAGTGAATGAAGTTAGGCCATAAGAAAATTTAAAAACGGAAATGTTAAGATAAATTTTACTACTGTGTTCATATTATAAAACACACTTTGCAGAAATTGCGTGTACCAAGGTCAATCCCTGCACGAATATGTGCCATAGTACACCCACTGGTCCTGTCTGTGGTTGTAGAAATGGATATCAATTAAGTAACAATTTTAAATCTTGTGAAGACATCAACGAATGTGAAGACAACGTTTGTTCACAATTATGTCATAATACTAATGGATCTTATACTTGTTCATGTTACGAGGGATACGTCATTCGAAGTGATAAAACTTCGTGCAAAGTGGCTGGTAAAAAAATACTTGATTTTTTTAAGTTTTATTTTATTTTTGAATAACTATTTAATTGCAAGAAATACGTGACAGATGATTATGTTTTATTCTAACACATTATTTTCATTTAATTAGGTCCACAAATGGAGATGATCACAGTTTCTGGTAATAATATTAGAAAGTTATCACGAAATTTGAATTCAATTGAAGTTATTTACGAAGAAATAAATTTTGAAATAAATGGTATTGATGTGAACACGAAGGAAAATACTATCTATTGGAGTAATGGTACTAATACTTGATTTTTAAACACCAATATATTTATTATTTACATTAATATCTCTTAATATTTCTTTAAAAGGTAGTTACATAAATTTTTCTGCATGATACTAAAATTACTGAAAGATAATTGGATGTTGAAAACGGTGAAAGAATTTATATTTCATATTAATTAATAATATACTCACATGAAATAGACTTTTCCGCATTATATTAAAACATGATTATCAAATTAAATTTCAACTTATTATTTTAAAATATTGAAGATATATGAAAAATAATTTGATGACTTCAAAGCTAGATCTCAATGTTATTAAATAAATGCTTGGTGACATTAGCTGCATTACAAGATCAGACTTCTATTATATATAATATTCTAAATGCTTTAATATTTTTTTCCCCATTCTTAACAATTTAGCACAAAGATGTTTTTATAACTTACTTACAAATAAAATCATGCATATATATTCTCCACAATATAAATTTAATAATCAGATGTTGGTTCTTTTATTTTATTTCTATATATTACTGCTTTATTCATATTTTATTAAATAAAATTATATCTCAATATGATCTTATTTCTTTATCTTACTAAATTCAGATCTTTTCTTTATCTTTCTTTATACAGATACAAATATTTCTTTATCTTATTAATAGATCTTTTTTATAGATGTTCTAGGTATGGTAAGTAAAATAAATATAAAAACCAAAGAACGAAAGACTGTTACCGGTCTTGGCAAACCAGAAGCTCTAGCTGTTGATTGGATTACTGATAATGTATACTTTAATGATAATGATCGTTCCAGCAGTATTCAGGTATTGAATATTCACTGTTCACGTTCATTTAATTTCATTTGTATGCATCTATGAAAACTTTTTTAAATTATAATCTACAGGTTTGCAATCTAGAACAGCAGAAGTGTGCTAAAGTAGTGTCAATTCCACAAAAATACCGAGCAATCTCTATTGCTGTCGAACCGAAGAGGGGGTATATTTCAATTATAGAATATATACAATCGCACGTAACTGTTGCCACAATTTGTCAGGCACTTCCAATGGTGTGACGGGATAACATTATCGTAAAATATCAATTCTGAATCAATAATGTTAAAATCTATGATTTAGCTGACATTTCTACATTTAGGGTCATATCAAGGTTCATCTTTGCATCAGCTATGATACTATAAAATATAATAGAAAATGACCTTGACTTTTTATTGAAAAAATTTTTTTAGAAATGTTATACTGCGGTATGTAATTGACCGAAAATTGATCAACTTCTGTTCGAGGCATTTTTTTTACTAGGTCATCAGAAATGCTTGAAAAATCGTGACAAATTATATGACATGCTGTGTATACACACACACGCATACACATCATATATATATATATATATATATATATCCTTAAAATCTCAAATATATTTAATTTTAACTAAATATTTATATAATTTTTCAAATTTTATTATTATAGAATATGATTTGATTATAAATTAAAAGTTACATAATATATTATGCATAAAACAAATTTTGAAAAATTATATATGCATAAATGATTGATTATCTGTGGAGAATCGAAAGATTTTAAAAATATGATTATAAGCCTTTTACCTTTGGAGAGATTTCGAAGTGATTTCAAACACGTGTTTCAAAATTCTTGAAATTTTTAAATACGTAATATGACTATATAACTGCAAAGTGTTAATATTCATGATCATAAGGAACAAATTTAATGTAGGTGGCTATTTTGGAGCCAAACTGTTTGGTCAGATTACGATAGACCTATGACGGAAATATATCGATCTAGTACAATGGGTACTAATGCAACAGCAATTGTACATCGTGATCTTGGTATTGTTTTTGCATTAACTATTGATTATACACGATCCAGATTGTATTGGTCAGATACGTTTCATAAAACCATCGAATCTTCGAATTTGGACGGTTCTAATCGTGTTGTAGTTTTAAATACACTTGTAAGTTATAGATTAATTCAGATTAATTAATTTATGTAGAGAAAAATATTGTTCCAAATATCTTCGTCATTGTTTTTTAATATGACAGATTTATCAAGCTTTGAGTATTAGCATATACGAGGATTCTTTATATTGGTTGATGAGTACAACTGGTACTATTCAAAAATGCAAATTATACGGTGACAAATCATGTATAACAATCATTATTGGTACTTCAAACGTCGACAAATACTTTATTATTTCTCACACCATTAAGCAACCTGTTGGTGAGTAAAAATAATTAACTAATTAGCAAAATTTTATTATTATTTTACCTTTTAATGAAGAATAAATTTTTAATTCATATCTTCGTATTAGGGAAAAATTTTTGTGAGAAATATGACTGCAGTTATATGTGTGTTTCGGGAAGCAATGGATCCGCATGTATTTGTCACGATGGATATCCAAAAGATTCCAAAAACATTTGCATAGAAAACACGAATACAAAAATTAAATTCAATTCCAATATAGTTAATCATAGAAACGAAAATAGTATTCATCAACAAGGAACAGTAACCGGTATAATAATCACAGTACTGGCATGTTTCATAATTGCAGCAGCTTATTTTTATTACCAGAAAATCAAACCAAACTTTTCAAAGAAGAATAATCTCAGGTAAATTCATCGATAATTCATTTTTAGTTAGAAATACTAAGTTTTCTATTTTACTTGCAGCATTCATTTTCAAAATCCATCGTTCGATCAACGAAATGAGATCAATTGTATTTCTGGTTTACCACCTGGAGAACATGAATATATTAATCCGGTTACGAGTATCCAACAGGTAAAACACTAAGGTCATATCCAGTTATAAAATTTTAATTTGTTTTTTTTTCTATTTAGAATAAGAATGAAAATAATATAACAGAGAAAAATGAAAAACAGATAATAAAAATGTTCAATTTCGATCAATCAGATGACGAATCTAAAGAATCTACGAATAAACAAGATATTCGCTCAATATAATAAAATATATATTACCTTAATTATTAAATGAAAATAAAATTCAAATTTAACTGTGTACATAATTATTTAGTTTATAAATATTTAATAGTATTTATTTCAATTTAACTGTAAAATCTTCATGTACGTATTCTTTTTACATACACACAATTAATAAAAACGGAATTATCAACAATATTTATACTTTTATACTGCATTTTTTTTCTTTTTCTTAAGATTAAATTATAAAAATTACCATTCAACATTCTTTATTAACATTAGTTTAGATAAAAATATAATTTCATAATTTAAAATTTTAATATTTTTGAACTATATTCGGTAATTCTATTATATATATATATATATATATATATATATATATATATA